ATTCTCGCAGACCGCTTCGTACTCCTGCTCGTGAACATTTGCGCTAAGAACGTAGCCAGTGTTCTGTAGTGCTGTTTACCGATGAGTCCCGATTCGGTTTCCATCCTGATTCGCGAAGTATGGCGTACTGGTCGTAAGTGCCGCCTGCAACACCCTCAGGAAGTCCATCCATACCATGGCGGGACGATTATGGTTTGGGCGGGAATTCGTATTAGTGGAAGAACAGGCCTCGTTTGGATCAGAAACACCATGACCGCTGTTGAATACCTCAATCAAGTGTTAGTACCAAAAGTCTATCCACATCGACTACAAATGGGTCAAGAATTCACGCTCATGCACGACAATGCTCGCCCCACGCGAGTGGTCACCAGTTGGCTGCAGGAGCACGATGTATCGGTTTTAGACTGGCCCGCGCAACCACCAGACCTAAACCCCACACGCGTGGGACATGATCCAAAGAAGGGTTTTGAGGAATTTACATTGTCACTGAAGAGCAACTTTTTTTGCATCTTTCCAGGACCTGGGACAATATCCCGCAGCAAGACTTTGATAAGTTGATTAGAAGCATGAAAAATCGTTGCAGGACCGTTGTTAACATCATGGGTAGATTTACTGACTATTGGTTTTCGCAAAATTGCAAATAACGGAATAATTTCGCTATATTTTTCACTTTTTCTTGAAAAACACATTTTTCGTTATTTTTACCATTATTCTACTTTTCGTCTTACTTAAATAATTTATATTTAGGTACAAAAAATATGTTTTATTTTATAATCTACGCTAATAAATGGGCTTTATAAAATTACTAGCTTTCAGCCAGCGGCTTCGCCCACGTGGTCCGCTGGTACCTTACTCATAGATCTAAACTCTCCTCCCACACGCGCATCCCCCGCCCGATGACGTCCACTTCGCAACGGGCCGTGCAGCAGAAATCGTAATATTTGAATATCGTCATAACTTCAAAACCAAACGTCCAATTTTAATAATTCAAAGGCCAAATATTATCTACATAAACTGTACTAAGTGATGAAATTTATTTTGATAAGGATCAATAATAGTATGAGTAAAATAAACGCGTTTAAATTAGTCCAAAAAAATTAAGATTTTTAAATAAAAAAATGGTTGTTTTGCCACACTCGACATAGATAGGTATAGTGTGTCGCGGACTTTTTTGTACATATTTGTAAGATCTTCAATTAATTAGAACATTTTATGGTTCTATCTATTATAGTTACAAAATAAGTAACTTTTCTGGTTGATTTTTTACACCTAGTGACCGAAAAACCCAAATATCTTACGATAGGTAAAGTGCCATTAAAGTTAAAAAGAAGAACCCTGAAAGGGTTCATTGGATTGAAAATAACTACAGAAATACATACACAGCCAGTTTTACAATTAACTTGAGACAACCTTAACAAATAAGAAACAAATGTGGATTCGTTATCTCATTTATTCTTATAGGCAAATTAGATTGCGTTATTATGAGAAAGCACCTATTTTCAACTCTTACTTTTATCATAGTTTCGATGCTTTACACTAACAGAACTATACAAAACCCGTTTGACAAAAGTACCTACTATACTCTTTATATACAAACTACAAAGCTGCTACAAAAAGAATTGTTGATCGAAGGAAAATATTAATACATATTTTACTCTTTCAAAGAGAATTGAAAGAATATAACCGAATAAAACAGTTTTTAACTTTTTTTATTTCACAACGTATCCATTTTTCTATATAATTTAATCATTTTAAAATATATATATTTAACAATAGCAGATATATTATGCAATGCATGCATTTTGGAAAAGCTCAGACTTATCTAAAAAAATGGGATTTCTACATTCGTAAGTTTAATCCATCGCTTTTAATAATTACGTCGAAAATAATCAATAGTCCACCTACCTGTCGATCAGAGATACATAATGTAGGTACATCAAAGAGAATGTACACACTACGTTTTGATATAAATAAAAAAATTAGGTTTCATAAGGTTGTACTTAGTATGTCTTGGCGATTCTTGCCTGTTCTCAGGGTCTAACTGAGCAGGGATAATACCTACACTGGAGGAGATTGTTTTGACTCCATTCAAAGCGCCTCTAGTCGACTAGAAGCGCACTGATGTAGGTAGATACGATTATGAGAATGGTGGTAGTATCCAGAACCATGGAAAACTAAAAAGTTGTTTACTACCTATAAATGCAAAAATGTGTAAGCGATAAAGTTGAAAAATAGCCGATTAGTTTTCACTGATCTCTACACTGTTTTCACTCGGCTCTATTGATCTGTTGAAAATAATAAATTCTTTACTAAAACTGGCAACTGGTAAATTTAAGCTAGTCAGCTAAAAGAAGATTCAACAGTGCATGTAAAGCTTATTTGAATATATATATATATTTTTTTCTATTAGCAAAAGGTTATCTACAAATTAAAAGGTTATCAAACAATTCCAAAATGTACATAAGGGTACCTATTTCTACAAAAGTTGAGTGACTTGATGTCATCAGACGATAAAAGAAATATTTTTGTTTATTCTATAAACATTCAATTTAAATTTTTTATTTGAATGTTAAGTTATTGAAATAATGTAATTAATGGGGATGGTATAGGTTAACGTTAAATTATACAAGTAGCATCCTACTTTTTAATTTTCTTTTATTGTTTTATCATTAATTTGAATAACTATCTCGATTTAAACATTACGTATTTGTAAATAAACAACTCTGAACTTAAAAAAAAATTAAAAAGGATAAAAGTATGAAAGAAAGTTCATATGTACCGTCCAGATATTTACCGGATATTTCCGGTTGTCGCGTCGACGACAACAAAGTTGTCAAAACAGTTTATTCTGAAAACCTTTCCATTAACTACGTCAACTAAACTAGTTACTTCGACACAACTTATTGTTGAGTTCAGTCCGTCTACGACAAAAACTAGTCGAAAAACAGCAGTTTTTTAATTTAGTGTAGTTTAGTTTACGGTGAACGATAAACAGTCTCGTTTCGTTGATCGAAAAACGTCGACGGTCCACCCCTATTTAATTTTCCATATTTTACATTTACCTACTCCGTTTTCACTTATTACTTTTTTGGATTCCGCTTTTTTATACTAATCTTCTTTTCGCAAACCACACGAAAAAGAGATTTATTTTCTTATTTTGTATTGTTTGTCACATCTACACTATTTTTGTAAATTCTTGTTTTGGTTTTTTTTCTGCAAATTTTATTACTTTATTCACATGGATTATGACACGTCTGTACACGCTGAATGTAAAGTTAACTGCAGCATCATTTGTTTTATTCTATTTGCTTGTCTCTGTTTTTTATGTGTTAAGATTCTCCTTCTTGCTTGTATCGCTCTTTGATTTTCAGTAGGATTTGCTCCAGCTCTGTCGATATTAACTACGAGATCGTCATTTTCATCGCTAAAGGATGGTGGTGTCTTGATTTTCAATAAGATTTATACAATAACGATATGCAGGAATCTGCTTACGAGTTGAGAGGAAGAGGGAGATATGGAAGTCACATTCTTCAAAATCTGTAATTCTATCGGTACGCTGTTTAAATTAGACAAAAATTAAGTATCAAAAGTGGCAGTAGATCAGATAAATAAAAAACTCTTCTTCTGTGCTTAAAAAAACTGTATAAAAAAAAAAGAAATTTACATAAATCCACATATCTTAAAAACCCATCGAAAAAGTGACTGGTCCATTCTAATACGGTGTTAACATTATATTACCTACATCCTAATACCAAAAACCTATTCATTTTCCACAAAAAAAAATATTAAAAACAAAATGAGGGTTAAAAGTAGCCCAACTTTTGTAAAAGTGCCAATATGTTGAAATGTCAACATAGCCATAGTTAGTGATCGATATTCAGTTATTTGTTTTTCGTTTAGTTTTCACTCTACACAAGATTCGTAGGTACTTCTACCAACATTCGATGACATTATGTATATACCTAAATATTCGCCAGAGTGAACGAATGCTAGAAAGTTTATTTGCAGTTAGTTGCATTCAAATAACAAGCTCTACCATGACCATAACAATTTTATATAATAACAAACAACATTAGAGACGAAGCTTTCGTGACTGGCTAAGTAACAAGGTCGAAGGTTATTCCATCATGGCGTCGTCGGCCTAGGTTAAAACTCGTACGGCGACTGGTACTACCAGGGAATGTTACATACTTGGTACTGTTTGCCATTAGACTAAATATTTAATATTTTTAAACTATAAGAAATCTCTCTTGTAACTGTAGAAAGTTACAATAAAGTCGATAAACTTTTAGAAAAATAAATTCACTATTGTTAATGGGTATACCTATATGATTTATACTATAAGTTAATAATAATAAGATTGATTTCCACCACAAATAAAATTATAAAAGGATGTACAATAAGATTATCCTATCAAGAGTAATTTATGGGAGTTTATAAGTCTCGCCTTGTTTGGACAATATGAAGCCACTTTTATATTTCAGCCCGCCTCGCGGGAATCGGTTTCTACATATTACACTGATTACGTCAGATTACATATGACACTGATTACGTCAGTGCCGTTCCTTATCGAGCAAATATAAATATGAAAGCAACTGGGTACCCCGAAGTGCAACTTTTTCCAACTGGGGCAGAAATTTGATTTTGCATTCATCCCCCCCCGCCCTGCTAAAACTACGAAACTAGACATAAAAAAGATAAGGCAGTACAACCCCAATTTAAGATTTTATCTAGGGCACTTTTAGCCATTTGGAGGCTCCCATTTGGTCTTCAAAAATGTGGAATTATATTTAAATGGTACCTATGTCAGTAAGATAGCCTAATATGTACGTACAGTTCCCAGTCGCGGCTTAATCGTTTTCTATTCGTGACTAAAATCCTGCGCCAACTCGCGAAACCACCGCGAAGGTCGCTACGGCCAGCATTGCTTTGTTTACGTCGGTATCATGCGAATCTTTTTTGGCTCACGTACGTTTAGTCAAAATATCAATTAAAAACGTATGGGGAAATTGGAAAAAAGGTCCTAATCATAATGGAGTGCTGCTTAAAGCTAAATAGTAGTAACTTCTACTTAAACCGTTTGTATAAATAAAATATTTCATTATAGGATCAAATCCGATCGTATTAACGCTTTGAAAAAGAAATATGATGCCTACTTGGAGGAAGACAGGAAAAGAAAGGAAAGGAATGAATATATCTTGGAGAAGCTGGACAAAATGCGATGCTGCAACGCATTGGCACAAGTTCGTAAGAAGGTACGTTTACGGGTCACGGAACACCTCATTAATAAAGTTGTATTTTTATTAAGTTTAAGTTCTATTTTACTAAATACAACATCATATACATTGATCAGATTCCAAATTGAGTAAGTTAAGTTACTTATTACAATGATATAGTTAAGGTACTCTTATTCTGGAGTATCTGAATCAACAAAAGGACTATAAAACCCAGATAATAAAGGAAAATTCATTTTCAACAATACCTTCGGCGATTGTTAATCAGCTGTCACGCCATGTCGAACAAGGATTGGACAAATTGATATTTATCTTCTAGAAAATTCTTTAACTGTTCAGCTTGACTGACGAAAATACGTAGTAGTGAAAGTAACAACCGCTTGTGTTACCTATTCGTCAATCTCGCTGTCTCGGGTATAAAAAGTTGCAACTAATATGGTGAATGATGAATCTTACGATAAAAATGTATAGTCGAAGTCTTGTTTCAATAAATAAGGTGCAAAATACAACGCTCACTCATGCTCAGTGGGGGTAAGGTGTGGATATTTGTGGATCGTTCGATGGCGTGATACTCAAATCTTTTTGATTGGTCTTTGAAATTTAGCTTCGGTGCAGATATATCAGTGAGTCACATACGTCGTACCTCAATGGTACAGCTAACAGCACGTCATGTTATGTTAATCTGTCAAATGTCCTTGATATTAAACCTTAACGTTTCAAGGGTAAAGTTTAAAAACAACTAGAATTTTGACATATTGTGGTAACCTGACGTGAAGCTATGTGTATCATGATAACCCTTTCCGAGAAATATATTGCCCAAATTACAAAAGGTTAATGGTCCTTTTTTAATTTATTTGACTAACCAATATCTGTTTACAATAATATATACTATCGATAACATTCATTCTTTTTTTCCAACTTATTGCAACAACACTTATAGGTTAGCTCCGCATGCATAATGAACTTAAAATATCGATCTATTTATTTATTACAGACTTATATGTTCAAAATATATTGATACATACGTAGCCATATAAATATTTTTTTTTCTTTCATACATGAAATATGTATGTTATTTTATGAGGTAAACAATTCTAATTTTATTTGCTCTTATAATTTAGAAAATCTAGAACATTTTTGTGGAATGTTGAGTAAGAATCAAAATTTAGATCAAGTAAATCGCTACAGGAATTAAAAGTTTTAGAAAGTCTGACAACCGGCGAATTAAACCCAATACTCTTTTTCTCAACGGATGACATAGAGGTGTGAGACGACTACGCGGGATTCTTGATGGGGCTCGAAATCGGAAATAACTCAGTAATTTAGAATTGTCTACTTTACCTCTCATTCGTTTGTAAAGAAAAAGCATGTCCAAGAGATCTCTGCGTAATAATAGGGAATCCATCCTGAAGAATTTCAATCTAGAATTATACGATCTTAGCTGTTTTGTCTTATGCGTCGAGAAAGAGAGGTGCCATAGGAACTGCTCCCAATCTATATACCTGGGACTCGTTATTTTTTTATCTATACATACTTTCGGCGGCACGGAATGTGGCCCAACTGCAATTGAGGTTTCTAATCAAAATAAAACAAAAAAAGTTGATTTTGGTAAAATTTGTCTATTTCTTATTCAAATACCAATGACTGATTTATACTAAAAAAGAAGAGAATTTAATAAAATTTACAAACAAACATAAAAATACCTAAAACCCGAAACTAAGAAAAAATTGAAAATCAAGTTAATTAAACAAAATAGTGCCGGAGCAGGTTTGGGCCACAGGCTGGTCTTCGAGCACGAAAATTTCGTTCCTTTGTTCTTCTTCTTATGCTCACTCACGTTAACCCCTCTTGCCGTTTGGACAGATATTTTACCCAGTTCACTACGACAAATACATTACTAGTGGCCGCCAGCGACTTCGTCCACGTTTTCCATTATTTCTTCGCTCCTACTAGTTGCAGCGTGATGTTATATAGCAGGGGTGGCCAACTTGTTTAGACCCAAGACCGATTTTTCACTGACGACACCCAGTACGATCTACCAATTACTTTACTTCTTAAAATCTTAAATAAAACAGCATAGTTCGTACACTATGTATTTATATTTTTTGAATTGCCACGATCCACTGGACTAATAGTCGCGATCGACTGGTTGGCCACCCATGTTATATAGCCTAAAGCCTTCCTCGATAAATGGTCCATTCAACACAAAAATATTTCGGACAAAGTCGCGGGCGAAAATTACTAGCTTTCAAAAATAAAAAATAAAATATTTTTCTCAAGTAGCAGCTTTGTTACACTCCATTGGTACAAATTCGATCAACGCATCTGTCATGTACTTGTCATAAATATTGATTTTGTTTACTGATGAAATAATTAAAGTTGTGCACACATTCATACATTAAGTTCCTATTTTTTATTTCAGTCGAGTAACATTGATGAAAGTTGCAAAGTTGCACTAAACACCGTGCCCACACAATCATTCCAAAGTACTTCCTGCCGTCCTATCGATAGTACGAGTATCAATATAAGAGATTCTCTTCCGGAAACCCATAATAATACAGACGAAACAATAATACTTCAAGAAATAAGCAAAAAATATATACTGATTCCCAAATTACGATACATGCAGAGCAACGATTACATACAATATGCAAAACCTCAAATCGACGAAAGCAATGATTGGAAAAGTAAATATGATATTTTAGCACAATTGAAGAAAAACGAAAAAGAAGATTTAGAAACCGAGCCTCATACTGCTTACATGTTAAATACATTGGTAACAAAAGACGAAGATGGAAACAAATCAAAAACAGAACAATTTGAATGTGATAAAACACGTCAACGTGTGAATGAACAAATACAAAATTACAATCACGATAATAATTATAACGAAAAAATCAACATAGAGCGTGCAGAAATAAAAGTCGACAGTCCAAATAAAAAAGCAGATGATATTGTTAATGAGAACTACCGGTATGATATTTCTCATAGTGAAGTGACGCAAAAAGAAAGTTATAACGAATTCAAGAAAAATGTTGTACCACATGAAAACTCAAATACTGGAAATTTATCAAATACCGATAACAACATTATTCAAGATGCAACTGAATTCGATACTGTAGCTGATTATGGTACTAATGATATTCCAAATGAATATTCATCAGTAGCTATATCCAATACGCAGGAATATAACACAAGTGAAGATGTAAAACAGTCATCTTCTATAAGTGATCATTATGAACTAAAAGAAGGAAATTCAACAGAAGCAATTACGTCTAATGCCTTTATGGTTGATGGAAATAGCACAAATACAATTGAACAACACGAATATCCAATTGAAATTATAAACAGTCAAGAATTTGCCCCCCGCTATGATGGCTGCGACGAAGAAAAATTATCGACTAATCCTGAAGAACAATTAATGAAAGACAGTGACTATAGTTCTAATTTCAATAATGAAGTTGTAGCGATGGCACCAGATAATACAGAAGAAACCGATAATATTTTTGATCCTGTTGTAATATCTGAAGATACGGTTCCAGTTGAAACAACTGGCATAGAGACATTTACTGAAAACAAGGACGAATATTATAACGAACAAGCAACTGATAACTATATGTATAACGAGGTTACGGATAATTACAATACGGAGTATTCCGCACCGAATGAGAACTACAGTCAACAAGAATATGACGCGTATTATGAAGGCGTACAAACAGAAGCACCTTACGCAATAGAAACAAATGAGGATGAAGCAGCTTTACAGCAGTATGATCAAAATTATCAACAACAGTATGATACTGATCACAATAACCCACAAGATTATCAACAATATGTAGAGCAAGGATATGAACAAAACGAATATACAGAACAGCCCGAGGTAGACCTTACTCAACAATACGATAACCAAGACGATACCTTACAACATGTCGAACAAGTGTTGGACAATGAACAAGGATATATTGTCGAGAAGCAAAATGAGCTTATTGAGACAAGTAATGCAGAGAAAGCAGTCGCTCTAGAACCAGCTACAGATAAAATAATAGAAAAGCACGTTAAAGCACAATAGATTCAAATTATTGCCTATAAAATTTTATCATTAATATGCATATTAAAATTGTATTTCATTGTTTATAGATGGATAATGTAGGATTTTTTTTGTGGTTCGTTAAAAATAAAATTTTGTGAAATTTATTGTATTATATTATTTAATTAAAATCTACTTACAATGTTATAATGTTATAATGATCAATATACAAGTTGAGCCCGAGTGTAACACAGTTATACAGGCAAAGACATTTCTTCTAAAACTGCAGCTTGTTCTGGTATTAGTGCTTCCATAGGTTTCTTCCAATGGAAATCAACACTCGGCAGTCTATCTAAACCTGTTGCCCAATGATGAATTCGACATCTCACATTAACTTTTTCAGTTTTGTTAATCTGAAACATAAAGTTTGTTAGTAGACAATGATAATGGCTACTTCAATAAATTTTTAAACTTAACTGAATTACATAATTTAATATTTAATACCCATAAATTCTGAAGACATAATTTAATACTTAATTCACATAAATTTTGTGGCATAGGGCATAAAGAGAGTTCATTATAGTTACATATTTTCATTAACTCTAATGAATAGATAGATTTTCCACACACTAGGCAGCCTTTATGGCCTGGCTTGAAACTTTGAGCAACCAAGCAATCGAGGACCAGTAGGGACTACTTCATAGCGATTTTTTCATATATGTATATAATAATAGGACCATTCGGTCGAGTGATATGGACGTGGATGCAACAACATAAGGGTAGAAGTTATTTTGTTTTACTTTCATACGCAGTTATATGATCGCATGGCTGACGCTGGCTGCCCACTGCGCCAAGATTTTTAGGTGTAACATATTTTAAATCATAAAATTAATTTCCAGCCATAACTGTAGATTTGTTTCTGTATTTTAAATTATCAATAGGTATTCAAAGTTAAACTATTGAATTCTATCTATTTGGCGGCAACTTCCCACATGTAAATTTTTCCCTGTCACCCACTTATGATGTAGCATCCTGTAGGAGAAAGAATTTTTGTAATCGTTTCAGTAATTTCGGAGCATATTCAATGCAAATAAACAATCAAATCTGTAATTTTTATAACATTAGTATAGATTGCACAAGACACATAATACAGAATTATTTCGATTTTCCAGACAAAAATTTAGCATCCCAAAATTCTGAAAAACTAATGGAAACAATTACTTACAGTAACTGTGACATAAAACTCCTTATTTTGTAGTGAAAGATCCGGACCCCTTATGGTAATAGGTGGCATTTCAATGGCATGTTCTGGAACTACAAACCCGGCTTTTCTGAATGACACCCTAACATGCCACGGTTCGAGAGTCCATGGTACTAGCTTATTCATGGTTATTTGCAAAACCAAATGTGAGAGACCCCTCATAGTCTGTAAAACATTACAATAATGTACCATCTACCAACACGGCAGCAGTGGAGCAAGTCAGAGAGCATTTCACACTGTGCTAAAGGTAATTCAGACTTTTATAAGTACAATAGAGTTGATGGTAAATAAATAAGTTCCATTTAGTTCGACAGTCGGATAATAGTAAAATATTAGAAACATACATATTTTTGCTTATATTTAACAAGAAATGGCTTAGATTTAGTTGAGAAGGCATTAAAGTTGAGAAGTGGGGGCTCACTACGTCACGACTTTGTAGAAAATGTACGAAGATGTGACGTCATAAGACATTTCAACTAAATAAGTAATTTATTGATAACGAAAAAAATACGCGTTTAATATTCCTCAACGATCTATCTGAGGGACAAACAAAGTCATTATCCCTTTTGTTAAGGTCCGCACGATCGTGTTTCATGATACGTAGCCGTCGAGCAAATGCGACCGGTAAATACGCCCGTTCGGTAGAGATCGTATGTTAATTGATACGTAAACTATCAGTGGCGTAGATGATATCTAGACTATTTTCTGATGTTACATGGGAAAATGTATACGCTGTTATCATTGTATGAAACATTTTGATAGTTAAAAAGTTGCGGCGAGTGTAGTGTTGAGCATTCTTCACTACCAGAGCATATCCTCTTTGTAGCCGTTGAACAAAATCGAAACTAAATTAACATAAAAAAGTCTATATTATTAATAAAAATATCTTTATTTGTGAGGAAAACATTGCACAAATAATATTGGACTACAGGTAGATAGTATAATGACAAAATAAATGTAGTTGAGATTCTAGTAAAATGCGATTATATTAGCAGAATCGAGAATTCGCCAGGCTCTGACAGTTGAACGCAAGTGAATGTAACACAGCGTGATATAAAAGTGCTACATTAGCCGACTAGAACGTTTGTCGCGATGTATGCAATATCGTCCCGTACAACGATAGCTACAGAGATCTATGGATAGCGATACCTATCGTCCGTTTTTTCTTAGGAACAGACTGTAGTTATTTAAAAAGCGGCTGAGAAATAGTGTTAAAAAAGGTAAATACGCTCGCCAGGAGCGTAGCTACCCCCGTATAAACTGTATCAATGATTACGGCCCCCCTGGGATACAGGGGCCCCTAACTTAACTGTGTAAGGAAAAATTATCACACTCTATTTTGGCCCTAATTTTGATACTGGGCATCCTATGCCACTGAGCCTCGCCTTCCATTCTTCCTCACTTGGCAGGCAAGGGACCTTTTTTGTTCTCCGGGTTACCTTTGGGGACATTGGGCGGGCAAATAAAAAACGGGACGGACCCATACAAAACAGCAAGTATGGTTACGTTAGGTATAACAAAAAGAGAAAAAAAAGCTATTTTGTAGCCGACGACTGTTTGGGGCTCATTCTGTGAGTAATCAAGAAATAATTAAAAATATTGTAGTATCTGACGCATAATACAACCTCTGTCCATATCATCACATTACCGGGTGCATTGACATTACATAGGGACAGTCTCTTGTTTTTACGCCCAACTTCAAGATGTTCCATTCAGGCCCGCTTTATTAAGGTTGGTATAAAACTGATGGAAATGCCGTCAAGCATCTCACAGGAAGTATGCGTTAGTACGCGACGGAATTCAACTCTCAATGGTTCCATTGCCTATTGCTAAACACTGGACATTCACGCCCTTCGACGCCCATTAAAAAAACACTTAATAATGCAGATACACAGATTAAAGAGTGTAATTTTGCCAAAGACAAGAGAAACTCCTTAGGTACTGCTCTGGTCTGAAAATATTGTACTTTTGACTAACGCGGATATGGACTACATTCCTACAGGGCAAACATAATCTGTTTGCCATGCCGCCCTTCGCTTTATACGAGCGCCCAAGGCAGTTGCCTAGTTTGCCCATATGTCATATCCTACGATTGATCAATTCCGCTGTTCCGCGACCGACAAGACAGGACGGTCACGCACGTTCCGACTAAATTAAATGCTAACAAATGCTTAAATAGTCACAATAAAACTTACTCGTTGAACATAAGGTGAACTGAACTTTTTATCTTCATCTATAGTATCATATTCTTGCTTTTCATTCTTGGCTAAGTTTTCAGGACTTCCATACACAGCAAGACCAGGCATAAGGTACTCTTTATATGCCACATTAGGGCGTAAAGTCAATACATCCCCAGCTTTTCCAACACCTAATTTTGAAATATTAATATGAAACTTTAAGTATCACAAGAAATGCTTTTTTAAGATTTAAAAAAAGAGAAGATCCATACTCCATATAGACATAATATGATAATAAAAATGGTAAATAATATGATAGGTCGCCTGGAAGAAATTGCTGTTAAGCAATCAATTGCAAAATGATTATGTTTAATGTCGTTATTTATCTCTGTCGTATGTTGTACAATTAAGTGTTTATGTAATACATACTAGCTTTTACCCGGGACTTCACCTAATCTTAAGTCCAGAAATAAAAAAATTCTATAAAAAATTGCATCTACTAATTTACCCCCTTAAGGTTTGAATTTCGTAAAATCCCTATCACCTACGCCCTAAAAAGAAACCGCATACAAAATTTGAAACTCCTAGCATGTGTAGTAACGAAGTTTCATACAAACTTCCATTCACTAATTTAGCCCCTTTGGGTGGAATTTCAAAAATCCTCTCTGAGTGCTCCCCTACACTCCCCAAGAGAATCTTCATTCCTAATTTCAACATTCCACGCTCAGTAGTATCTCCTGTACGTTGTCTGTCAGTCAATCAATCAGTCACTCAGTAATACAAGAATTTTATAGAGATTTTAAAGTTTTGTTAATAAGGCATACTTGTACAGAATTTATTATAAATATCTATACTTTATTCATAAAAAATTTATATAAGTATAATTTTGTAAAATATATAGGTAGTTATGCAAAAATAGTAATTTTGAGTAGTTGACGAATATGACAAGGCAGTTGGACCTCGAAATATATATACCATTTTGTCTTATTGAAGGATATATTTAAAGATTTTGAAATTAAATATTAGGTTGGGGAAAACTCTTTTTAACCGATTTGACAAAAGGAGGATCTCAGTTTGACCTGTATGTATATTTGTGTATTATTTATTGTGCGCGATTATCACGCGTTTGGCTGAACCAACTGATTAACCGACAAAAAAAATGGAGGTTCGCACTCTAACACGGTTATGACGCGTTTTTCAGAAAAGTATATTTAGTGTTACCTATTATATAAAAAAATATCAATATCACTAAAAAGCATGAAATAAAAACATTAAAAAGAATAGAACCAACCTCAAAGTAAAGAATAATACTTATCTCAAAAGCGACTTATTCAAGAAAATGTTATTGAAGTTGGGCGCCTATCATTTAATTATATACAGAAAACTTTTGCCCAACTTTAATCTGGGGGCATGGAAGTGCCTCCACCAAGTTGAGCAAAAAGTAAAAAGAGGATGGCCTTACCATCCTTTTCTAGAAGTCATTCAGGGCATTTTTGACCCCTTGTTACTTCGTTGTGGAGTAAACTAGATGCCTAATTTTCAATGACCAAGAGGGCATCGCTTAATGAGGCACACTTCCAAATCACATTAAATATGAAAGAGTACTTTAAGAATTATTACAATTCCAAACACCTTAATTTTGTCACTGACTGACCCATAAATCATCAAAATTCTAAGGTTCTTCTAGCAGACCTACAAGGTCCAAATTTTGAACACAATTATAAAATATTTGTCCCATTTTTAAGTTTTTTAGATGCGGTCAAGCATTCGCAGAGTAGCTAGGTGGAGTAGTGGATAAGCTCCATGGCCACAATGTCTTATAAAAGCAACTTTCGCAAGGGTCAGTCACAGAATGGGTGACTTGACTATCCATAAGGAAGGCCCCTGCAGCAAGGATATAAAGGGCTGATGAAGATGATGAAGCATATATGGCACTTTCAAGCACAACATCCCTAACCTGTTTATATGCTCATAACTGATGCTCAAAATATAATATCTGAAAAGAAAAAAAGGAGAACTGCCTACAAAAAGAAATGAGATCCCATCAAAACCATAACATGTACAAAAATGTACAAGTCTCACAACTAAATTTTTCTGCTTCAAAAAGTTATGAAATCAACATAAACCAAGTCAATTAATTCAGAACCTTTCTGTGAGACCTTTTGAGTGCTGAGACCTTTTGAGTTGCTTTTAAGATCAGTATCATTCTTCACTTTTTTAAGTTTGAAGTTGGTTTTATTTTTTTGCACAGGTATAGTACGCATAAACTTGTAACAAAATCTTTCCGGCTATACCATTTGTATCTGGCTAGTTTTGATATCATTAAAAAGTTTAAATTTTGATGTTAAAGATCACTCAAGTGAAATAAAGCCAACTTTGCTGTGGCTGTTCAGAGCATGGTTTTATAATATATAAGTTTACACTATAACCACTGCTATCTATATCGCCAGTTCATATCTTGAATTCTTGCAATGAGACCAAGTGAGATAATAGGTACTTGTCACATTGTAAACAAACACAAGTACAAAACAACTTACCATCAACAAATTGATTCAAAATAATTTTCATGTCAGGTTTTCTCTGCACATTAGTTTCTTCAACTAAATCATAAATGAAATGCCTTGCTTTCATTTTAGGTGGTTTACCACCTTTTTTGTGAAGTGTTGGAGGAAACCTTCTTTTTAAAATAAATGTGTTCTGAAAATTTTAAAAAGTTATAAGCTGTTATGTAAAAATATTAAAGCGAAATAATAAAATAAGTACCCTCGTTTGTTGCATCACAACATTTTGTCCACTGCTAAAACTTTTTACAAAAGTAGAAAACATATTTAATATGTTTTAATTAATGAAATATAGCGGAAAGTTGGTGGAAAATAACTAATTCACAACTTCATAACATTGACAATAAATATTGAGGTTAGGATATTTAAAAAAAATAATTTTACAGTGTAGTTCTTCAAGGGCTAGTTTTGGCGCTAGGATCGCGGCACACCGCCGCCATTTTGTAAACGCCATTAAACGTTTGACATTTGACAACTGTGTGTCGTACGTCATTCTTGTGTCGGTGTTTTGTACAAGTTTTGTTGAAGTTTTGTATTTCCTCGCGTTTACGCTTGAGTTGAGATTCAAATCCTAAACACATTGTACGGAGCAATCTACAGTGCGATTTTGCTGTTCATTATCGTTATGGGTCCTTTAAAGTGTTGTGTTGGTGGTTGCAATTCTACTAGTGCTACGCACCGGCTTTTTTGTTTCCCTACGAACGATTCTTTGTTAAGCTTGTGGTTGTCCTTCTTAGTGCCATATAATTCATCCCTCATCGGCCTTTCGAAAGATACTTTACGTAAAAAACGTGTTTGTGAAATACATTTTGACAAACACCAGTTTGATGAAGAAGGTAAAAGGATTCGGTATTCCTATCCTTGCTTATTTACTGATGATGAAATTGCCCATGGTGAAGCCCTTTCTACAGCTGAAGCAAGTGAGTCCTCAAAATGTATACTTAATTTGTATTACTATATAATTTTGTATTACCTTTATTATTATAATTTTGCTACAAGTACATTGAAGTGTTGTATTTGCCAACACAGACGCGGACTGTCGGTGGCATACTTTGTGTAATAGAGCCTAAAAGTAACACACACTGCATACCTTATTATAAATGGCATAATCACAGCTATTTTCAGCATTAACCTAACAGCTAACGCCTAATATCCAGTGTGTATTGACAGAAGAAAACTGAGACTTTTTGTTGTAATTACTTGTGTGTTTGTCACTGAATTTCTTTAGAAATATTGTCTAAGTCGCAGCTAAGTGGTATAATCGGTCAACCAATTGAGTGGCCCTTTAATTGAATGGTGCCATTTTTCGATTTATGCTGTGGTCTAGGCATGAGTAACTAATAATAAAATATTATGTTTTAGGGTCAAATGTTTTGAATGAACACGATTATTTCAAAAGTTTAGACGATGAGGATGATATCTCAGATGCCTCGTTGGTAATTGAAAGAGCAGGTATATAGTTTTTCACTAGTTTTATAATCATTAAATCTGTTAAGTGTATTTTCATTTTGTATCATTCCTGTCATTACATTCTTATTAACTTAGCTACCAATGATATCTAAAATTACCACATTGGTAGTCTGGCTACAATGACCCGAGTAAAACTTTAATATGAGAGTTCTACAAAATTAAATTATTGACCTATTTTAAAAAACTACTATGAAGGAACTTGCCACTGCAAATTTTTATAATCCAGCAGCTTCAGCTATAGTCAACTGGTGAATTCATTGATGCTGGGTTAGATTTTTCAAAATTATAAAGCCATTTTAAGAAATAGTAAATTTTACAAAATGAATTTGTTTGTTTTATAGTAAATTTTTATTAACTGAAATCTATAAACAATTTTTAGGTGGTTTCCATGAACATCTGTCATATGTATGCTCTCAAGAGATTCCAGCAAGCACAGAATTGAGAGGTATATGGACTGGAGTATTTTAGATTTGAAAGAATGATTTGTTATATATTGCTAGTTATATGTATTTAATTATGTTAATTTTATTTATTTAAATATACTTTGCATGGCTTCACTGCTCATGTTTAAGAGACTTGTCTCTTAAACTCTCTATCCCTGTCTTGACAGGGATAGAGAGTTTCAAGACAGGGATAGGAAGCTATCCCTGTCTTGAAACTCTTAATATTATAATGTTTAATTAATGTGTTTATTTTTATTTTCTTTATTAATTCAGATATATCGATTTATTATTGTTATCTTGCATCCACTACCCTGTTCTTTATTTAATTATTTTTTGTGATGGGTTGCTTGACTTATTGCTACATAGCAATAAGGCAGTCCATTGAATAATTTATTTTCTTGATTCTTTTTGTGTATTGTGTGCTGTGTAGGGTGCAGTAAAGAATATATTGTTATTAATACTATTATGTTTGTATTTATTCCTTTTCAGATGAAGTAGTGCAACCATCGTGTTCATTTACCACTAATGTAAATAAACCATTAGAGATACCACATGAAAGCTGCCTCAAAGAAACACAAAAAGGTATTGTCTTTTACATCTTTAAAAGTAATAACAGATTAATTTAGTTGATATTTAATAGCATGCCTCTTATTTTATATAACTCCATATATACCTCCTCATATATACCCACATCTTGTGACTATACAGAATACAATAAAATAGTGTTGTCCTTTCTAAAATAAAGCATTATATTAATTATATTATAGTAACTATAATATAACTGCACCAGCTAATTTTGTTTCTATTTGTTAGTGTATCAATATTATTTTTCAGATCAATTAGAGCAGCCATCATGCTCATTTAACACTAACGTAAAGAGCCTGTTAGAGGTACCACATGAAAGCTGCCTCACGAAGACACAAAAAGGTATTGTTTTTATATATTTGACAGTATGCTTGTTTAATTTTCCTGCATTTTAAAAGATTATGTTCTATATAAAATGAACATGCAGCTAATGTAAGTTAACTATTAGAGTTACCACATCAAAAGAGCTACACAGAAACAAAAGTTTCCTTTTGTATTTCTTAGAAAATATTAACCACTTGATAACTTTATCATACTATAAAATAAGGAATAAATTACAAATTCTTTCAAAATATTAAACCAAGGACCTTTTTATTATAGGTTGCAGAAATATGGGTTCAAAAAAAAGAAGATTTTTCAAATATGTGAAAAACATTGCTGCTGACAGTTTGGGTAGCACAGCCTCACAACGAATAGAAATGGCTCAATCTCTGGCCAATAATGAGAGGCTTTTTAAAAATTTTCATCTTTTAAACAAACATGCACAGTCGCTCTTACTGATGCAGTTAAGGGAATGCAGACGTAATAAAATGGCAAGAAGATACACACTTGATGAAAAGTTGAGAGCTCTAGTGTTGTTCAAACAAAGTCCAAAAACATATAGACTGTTGGAAAATATGCTTGCCTTGCCAAACAAGAGGACATTGAACAGAGTGTCTGAAAAACTCTCTCTGGAACCAGGACTCAATACGAAAATTTTTCAATTTATTGAAAATAAAACACAAAATTGGCACATTAAAGAAAAACTATGCACAATTGTATTTGACGAAATGGCTTTGACACCACATTTGAACTATAATTCAAAAAATGATAAAATCCTTGGATTTGTTGATTTTGCAGAAAACAGAAAAATGAGGTTTTGTGACCATGCATTGGTTTTCATGCTGAGGGGAGTTTGTTCTTCATGGCGACAGACTGTCGCTTATTATTTCTGTGAAGGAACAATATCAGCTGCTGCATTACAGACAATTTTAAAACAGTTAGTTTCCCAAGTAGCACAAACTGGGCTAATTCCACTGGGACTTGTATGTGATCAAGGATCAACTTTTCGAACAACTATTAAAACTTTAAGGGAGGATACGTTACGTTTTCGCAATCTTCAAAATATAAAAGATGGTTAGTATACTATAAAAAATATCTGCTCACATTTGTTTTACTTATGATCACTCCTTTGATGCTAATTTCCTTCTATAATGCCAACCGTTAGCAATTAACAGTAAACATTGTTTTTTTACAGATGGTACAATCCATGTTGCTGGACATGACCTAAATGTATTTTTTGACCCACCTCACCTGCTGAAAGGATTAAGGAATAATTTTTTAAATAAAGATATTATCTGGAATGGAAAGACAGCCACATGGAAAGACATAGAGTTTATTTTTGATTTGGATAGTAAATTAGGCCATACAAGAGCTATGCCAAAATTAACAGTTCACCATGTTGATGCCAAAAGAATTAAGAAAATGAAGGTTAGCATAGCAGCACAAGTGTTAAGTACTCGAACTGCTGCTATGCTGAAATACACCAATGCACTTAGTAAGTTTTTTACTAATACTAATAAATAAGCTTAATCTACAACTATGAGAATTTAGAACTAAATGTTTTCAAGAAATATTGTAAATTTTATAAAAGTTAAAAACAAGAGGCATACAAAATTATTTACCTCTTACAAAATAAAATAAATTATCTTAAATGGATTTTGTAATTAAAATAAACTACTAATTTGTAAAAAAAACCAAAGGAAAGCTGTAATAGTTTATTTCGATTTTATTTTCAGATTATTTTCATACTGGAAATGGAAGCAGCACAATGGCTACTACAGCAGAAGTTGTCGAATTTTTTGACACTTTATTTGACAGCGTCAATGGTTATCCAGGTGGAACTGTAAGGGGTAAATTAAGAAAGGCTGTAAAGAAAACTTCGGAACACTTTACATTTTGGGCTGATGCCATAAATAAAATTAAAATGATGAAATTTGTCGATAGCAATAGTAAAATTGTAATTCAAACTGGCAAATCACGATTTGTGTCTGTGCCCTCATTAGAGGGATGGGTTACGACCCTAGAAAGTTTTATAAGAATTTCCAAATTATTATTTGAAAAATATTCAATTGATTATTATTATCCTAGAAATATCAATCAGGATCCATTGGAAAACTTTTTTGGGCGGGTAAGGGCTATCAATTATAGAAATGTTAACCCTGATGCAAACACATTTGTATACGCGTATAAATCGTTAGTTTTAACAAATTTATTAGTCCCTCACTCAAAATTTGCCAACTGTGAAATGGATGTAGGGCATACATTGATAGATGCTAGTTTTTTATTTGATGAAGAAATAAATAAAGAAAACCAATATCCTAACATTAGTATACAGCCATCCACTTCACAAGAAGAACCCCTTCAATCGTGTGGATCTATATCTAGGGATGATGTTATTATGGAGAAAGTGAAGGTCCAATGTTCGGCATACACTGCAGGATACATTTGCCGAAATTTATCAAAGGCAGTTAAATGTAAAAATTGTACAAAAACATTTACAACTAACTCCATAGAAAAAATTCACATTTATATTAAGCACAGGGAGTACAAATCTTTAAAAAACAATAATTTAGCTTATCCAACAGAAAAGTTTCTAATTTTAT